CTCCTCCTCTCCTCCTCTCCTCCTCCTCCTCTCTCCTCCTCCTCCTCCTCCTCCTCTCTCTCCTCTCTCTCTCTCTCTCTCTCTCTCTCTCTCTCTCTCTCTCTCTCTCTCTCTCTCTCTCTCTCTCTCTCTCTCTCTCTCTCTCTCTCTCTTTCTCTCTCCCTCTCTCTCTCTCTTTGTCTTTCTCTTTGTTTCTCTTTCTCTCTTTCTTTCTCCCTCTCTCTCTTCTTTATATTCTTATATTTTTGCTTCAGTCTGTAGCGGCAGAAATCCTGACACACGAGCCGCTGATTGAGAGCGTGATGTCGATGGCTGAGCACATGCTGTCGCAGCAGCACTTTGCATCAGATGACGTGCAGGACCATCTGAACACGCTAGTCACTTCTCTGCAGCGGTTGAAGGAAAGCTCCGCTGATAGACAGAGGAGACTTCTCGATGCTGTTGAGTCGCAAACTGTGAGCAGGTTTTTCTCGCTGCGATTTGATGATTGGTCAGTGGTGCTTTTCATGATTACTGCTGGTATGCATGCAGCTAACCAGAGACGTACTATCATATACAACTCTTGGCAGAATGCCAATCTTTCTCATTGTAATGTGATGCTCTTCAGTGGTGCGCATGTTAATGTGATTGATGTTGGCATGTATGCATCTAATGAGAGATTTTCTTCTATAACTTGCATAAAATTCCCCCATGCTGCTACACGTACGACGCTACTACATTTATTTGTAATTGCAGTTGCTTTAAAACTGTGCTTGCAAATAATTGCATGAGCAATATATATTCTGGCATTTTCATTAAAATAGTATGCTTAACTGGTAACAATATACGGTGTACAAAAAACGGGAATTTTCTTGACCTGTGGTTGGCGTTATATATAGTTAAACAATAGAAACGAGAAGTTGTTGTTTCTTCCATTAGTGTATATATATATATATATATTCATGCTTCGAACTATATAGCTGTGATGTTTTAACACTGTAATATGGCAAGTGTTATTAATTGCTTCTGCATATGCTCACAATACAGTATTTTGCTATACAGTGCCAAAATGAATTTTCGTATTCAAATGTTGGTTTTTAGCTCATCTGACATAGTCGGATGCAGCTTGTAGAATCGCATGATCGTCCGTCCGTGCGAGCGTCCGTCCGTCAAATATTGATATATGACTCGAGTCTAAATATCAGTATTTTTCGTTTACTGTAAATACATCCTCAACTAAAAGTGAGAGATAAATGGTTAAACCGCCATCCTCAAATCAGACCCCACTCAAACCCGTCTGGAGGACGGGTAATAGCTAGTATATATATATAGCTTGCTCTTATCACATCGTTGTATGCAACAGGAAGGAGATGGACTGGTTTCCGATCAGCACTATGCAATTGAACAAATTGAAACAACAAATGAAGTGCTGCAGGCAAGCTGGGACAACCTGAATGAAACCTCCAATGTGAAGCGAGATAGGCTAAAAGGAGCTTACCAGGTTTGCTTATAGGGTGTTACCACATGTACCAGGTCATAAAGATTGAAACGTAAGCTTTTAAGTAGATTTTGAGCTTGAATTAAAAAAAAAAATTGTTCATTGAATTCATGCTCCCTCAACTAGCTGACATTGAGCCACTCCAAAAACTTAATTGGACAGGAGATAAATAGAAAAATAATTGATGAGTGCGTCAATTAAATGCTGACATTATCATGTTCATATTAGTGTGATAGAAATTTGTATTTGCATGTTTTAAACATATATAACATGTAGATGAATTCTCGTATAGTGATTATTAGGTTTAGACATTTACTGTATGTATTTTCATGTTTTTCCACAGGCACTCGTGTTTTCACGCTCAGTTTATGACCTTGAAGCATGGTGTGGGGAAATGGAGTTACAGTTGGAGTCAGAAAACTACGGGATAGATCTGGCCAGTGTGAAGAAGCTAATGAAGAGACACCAAGTACATATGCTAGACAAGCTGTATTCAATAGACCCCCATGGCAGCATTATCCCATAGTATCAACACTCAAACTGTGGGTGGTGTTGTAGAAGTTGAGTTAATTTACTTCTTTATGTGTTGATGCTTTTTTTTATGTATTGGTGATACTGCCTCAAGTCAGTTTCCAAATCACCGGGGTCATCAGTGCCGTTAACACCTCTTTCAGCAACTCGAGGCAGACATCGTCTACCATTTGGGTGCTGTAAAGAAAATTGAACACTCTGCTAAGAAGTATCAAGAGCAGCAGCATTTCATGATCGATGAGATACAAGCAAACGCATCACATATCACCAAAAGGTGCCACAGGATACTTTCATCATTGCATACATTGTTCTCTGACCGATGAAATGCTCTGTCATGACAGCCTTTAAAACTCATGTGTAATCCACACAATTCCTTTTTCGTAGGTACAATAACCTGGCGAAGCCAGCTGCCATCAGAGGGGAGAATCTGTTAGATGCTCTACAACTGCACCAGTTCAATCGTGATGCTAGCCGCGAGTTGTTATGGATACAGCAGAAGCTTCCAGTCGCAGAGGATACAGAACTGGGGAACGACCTGACAGAAGTCATTAATCTACAAAAGAAACATCAGGTGTATCATCATCACCTTAAAGAAGATTAGTCACCGTGGGAAAGCAAACATGTTATTCAGTATTTCTATAACTTATATATCTGGTTAGGTTTAACAAACCATGTTATCTGTTTCTCGCTCTCTCCATCTCTCTCTCTCTCTCTCTCTCTCTCTCTCTCTCTCTCTCTCTCTCTCTCTCCCTCTCTCCCTCT